CATGAGGTACAGATGAACTGGATAAACTGGATGTTCATCCAGTTCCCCTATAGCGCATGTCTTTCGACAGTGCTAACCACTGAGCCACCGTGTTGCCATATATAAACATATAAAGTGTTTATTTTAGAATATAATAAAATATCACTGTATTACTGTTTGTATTTTGATTAAATATATACGGGACTATTAAACAGAAGAGACTTCTTTAAAACATTAAAAGTGTGTATTTGTTGATTTTACTAGCCTATGTTTAAATATTTATACTGAACAAGGTAAAAACGATTAAGAAAATCATTATATTACAGTGTTCCCTTGTTTCATTAATTTGTTTGTAAACGGTAACACATGCCGTACATAAAGCTGTAAATTATATTATATTTTTATAGATGGATGCTGTGGATATCTGTGTAGATATATATTTATTCCTCTGCAGGATGAGCTGAACTTGAGTGAATGTGGCTGGGCTACACTGGGCATGGAAACAGATCCAGATGTCCTGAGCACACTGCTATGGATCTGGCTGGACAAACTCAAGGTCAGAGCTCACTGTATGGTCATTATGCCACAAAAACATGTCTGAAAACAATAAGCAAACTTCTTTTTGTTTTATGCATAACAGGACCCCATTCTCAGTAAAGATGACATCGAGAGGCTGACTTTAACATGGCCTGCACAAAACCCTCTCATTACACTACACAAGGTGAACATTTATACACAACTCAGACACAAATAAAATAAATATATATTAGTTAGATTATCCCTCCGGTATGTTCGTTATGTAAAGGTTTAAAATAACTCTTACGTTCAGTATTGTTTTCATGTTGAGACACGACAATTTGTTCCTCTGTAAGTCCACACATGTAGCGAAGTGACAAAAAAGCTCAACTTGAACTTGATAAATAAATAAATGACTAAATAAATAAATAAATGAATAAATAAATAGATAAATAAATATTAAATAAAAATATAACATCAAAACATTTTTGGACCCATGATTTTGAACTACATTATGATCAGTTTTTGAAGTGATTTTATGTGTATCGAAGTGTCTTAAATATATTTTGGCATTATAAATTCAAAAATATATGAGTAAAATATTGTTCCTTTATTATTCAGGGTAACAGGTAAATTTTATATAAAACTAAACATCCTTATCTTTCCTTATTAAAATATTTAAAATAAATAAGCAATCAAATTAACTGTTATTACATTTACAAATAATAATTAAAAATGTCTTGCTGACAAATGAGTAAAACCTAGTGGGTTTCATGATAGTTATAGATCATAAATATTTAAAATGACATTTATTTAGTATTTTGGGGCTGCACTGTCATCCTTAAAGTGATAGTTCACCCAAAAATTTAACTTCTGCCATCATTTGATCACTTGTTTAAAACCTATTTAGGTATTTTTTCCTACCATGGAAGTCAATGGGTACCAGTATTTAGCATTTTTACAGATATCTTTTCTTGTGTTCAACAGAAGAGAACAAACTCATAAAGGTTTAAAACAACTTAAGGAAGAGTAAATGATGAGGTGATTTTCATTTTTGGTGAACTATGCCTTTAAATAGAATCATTTAATATGCCATCAAATCATTGTTGTACTGACAAGGTTTTACTTTACTATTTTGTTTACTATTTGTTTACTAAGATTACTATTATTACTTTGTGTTACATTTTAGTGGATGTCATCAATATATATATATATATATATATATATATATATATATATATATATATATATATATATATGAGAGCAATATCACACGAGTAGCAGTGGGATATGGCTGTATATCGGCACTGGTGGGAGCCGTGCCGCAGGCCGAGTGCCTTAGTGCCCCCATCGCACTGCTATGAGTATGATATTCCGTTTATACAACAGTTTGACGGCATAATTGTGTATATAAAAACAAAATCAAACATGGAGAGTCTCAAAAACCCTTTTGTATGAGGAACTACTTTCTTCCGCATTGGATTCAAATCATAAGCTGACAGTTAAACAGCTGAGCAAGCATCTTTTAAACTTTAGATCTGTAGTGTCTGCTTTTTGCTGGTTGTATGTGGGCGGAGTAATACACAAAGGGTAAAGAGGCTGTAGAGGTGCTCATATTACTTAAATATATCACGGCTATCAGCCAATCAGATTCAAGAACCAGACAGAACTGTATATATATTCTAATGCACAATAGAAAATGTTACATTTAAACTAGTATTAAGCTTGACCCAAACAGAAATATAATGAATGCATGCAGAAAAAACCCTAAGAAAAAATATTAAGTTTGCATGTGTCATATTTACATAAGCTACCTGACAATCGTATACAGCTGTAAAATATCTGTGTTGTTTTAGATTCAGCGTCAAACTGTCTTCTGTCTGCTGGACTGTGTGGGTCATGTTGTGGTTCGGTGTCCTCAGTTTGAACATGCGATACTACAGAGACTCATTCGAGCATTAACCAGAGTAAGTATCCAACAAATCAACGGATAGTAAACAATCAGTTTATCCGAGATTATTATACTTTTTCCCTTGTGTTACAGCGCCCTCCAGAGGAAATAGAGAGAAACAACATCTTATTGCGGGTCCTCAGAGCGTCAACGAGAGAGCTTTACCTACAAAACCACCACTCAAACACTACAACAGCTGCAAAGTGCTAGACACTGGGGTTAAACCATGAGGAAACTAATAAAAAGATCTATATAAAGAAGAGTTATACGATTAATCTAGTTATTGATTTGCATTTCAGTCATGTCCAGGAGGAGTATTCAAACACTTATTAGTAATAAACCTTTTTTAAATACAAAATATCATACAAAACACCATTTGCAGAATGAACTAATTAGGTATTTTGTGTCTGTTGAAGAGGAATATTACAATTTAATATATAAACACACACACACACACACACACACACACACACACACACACACACACACACACACACAAATATAATCAAGTAAAACCATAATGTAAACTTCAATCCTCAATGAAAATTATATATATATATATATATATATATATATATATATATATATATATATATATATATATATATATATATATATATATATATATATATATATACAATTTCTAATTGAGGATTAAAGTTTACAATAAGGTTCTATGTGTTAATATTAGTTGAACATTAGCTTTATAAAATAACAAATACACATACACATACAAAAAAAAAAAAAGAAAACTGATTTTAGCCATAGTTTTACTACAAAAAAAGCAAATGTTTTTGTATTTAAGCTGTCCACGAATGTACTTATTGTGAATCATAGTTTAACCGTGGTATCTGCAAAAATGATAATCAATCAATACCCTTAAAGAGGGGTTCTCAATCTCGATCCTGGAGGCCCAGTATCCTGCAGATTTTAGCTCCAACTTGCCTCAACACACATGCGAGAATGTTTCTAGAAAGCCTAAGCTTGACTAGGGTCTGATTGGGGTTAGAGATAAAATCTGCCGGACACCCGACCTTCAGGACCGTGATTGAGAACCCCTGCCCAGACACCCACCCACATTGTTAAAATAATTGCACATATGATAATCGTATGCAGAATTAAACCAACAAAGTCAAATGTTGCAACAGGAGGATGGATGCAACAACCTATAGTAACAGTTGCAACATTGATTGAAATGTATCGATAAACAAATTCTAAAACATCAGGTTGGATTTTATTTATTTATTTTTCGGGTAAAAGACTAACTGTAAATTGGTTAAATTGGCCATATAAATGCAGACATTAAGAGAATAAGCAACAACCATGTTTTGGTCGATTATCGACCCTACAGAAAACCTGAACAAAAATATCTTTACTAAAAATCTAGACTGAATCTATACTAAATTACTTCTTTGAACTTTGAAATGAATGAATTAATCAAATAATTCATTCTTTAAAATTAAGTTACATTGAAACTGTAATCAAATTAAAATTGTACATATTTTATTATGGCAAGCTTTTAAATGAATTTTGTAATTAGGGACAGTTGCAACAGCATGAAGAGCAACAGCTGAAGAGTTCAGAGTACCATCTTAAATTTTCTTCTAAAATAGTAATTTTCTTAGGGTCCTATGTATAGGTTCAATTTACATTTAAGACATAAAATATGTTTTTTTTTTAATCGCTTTTAAGGTAAAATATTTTAACCTAAAATTAAGCGGCTGTGGAAAAATGCTGATTTTAGAGGGAAATTTTAGATGGTAGAGGTTTTTGCATCTCTTTGACTGTCCCTTCTCTGTCAACCATGATTAAACTTCCTTTGTAGCTTTAATGCTTGACAGCTAAAACTATTTTAAGCTAAGAAAACATGGATTTGAATTACAAGTATGTATAATATTTCACATAAGCAGATTAGAAAACATAAGAAATTTTCTGAACAATAAAAAATATATAACCTTTTTTTTTTTTTTTTTAACCTTAAATTGAGTTTTATATTAAAGCAATAATCAGATATGGCTAATTTCTTTCTGTATAAAGGAGAGTCTAACTGAGAATATGTAGCATAACATTTCTAGTTCAGAGGTGTCCGAACTCAGTCCCGGAGGGCTGGTGTCCTGCATAGTTTAGTTCCAACCCCAATTAAACAAACCTGAACCAGTGAATCAAGCTCTTTCTAGGTCTCCTAGAACAGTGTTTCTCAACCACGTTCCTGGAGGACCACCAAAGCTGTTTTGGATGTCCCCTTACTCTGTCACACTCATTACAGGTCTTACTGTCTCTGCTAATGAGCTGATTTGAATCAGGTGTGTTTGGTCTGCGCAATATATTATATTGATCAATGTTGTTTAGTCCAATAGTGATCGAGGAACATAATGCAGAAATAAAACATAATTAAAAGTATCTCTAAAGGCAAAAGTTGTTGAATTTTGTTAATTAATACCTTAATTTGTTTAATAATTAATCGCACTGGATTCATAATGAGCAGCTCCTCGTGAACTTCTAACCAAAGGAATGTCACTCAAACTGACATCAATCGCCATGGTGACGGCGTCAT